TTGCTTTTGATGTTCCAAAAATATTGTCATGATTAATTTTGCCCTTGTTGCAAAAGCACTGAAATTACTTAATATATTTTCATGGTGGATTTTGATATGCAGGATGGAGAAAAAGCATGTTACAGTATGAAGCGTACTAGCCCACTGGGCAAGCTGATGAAGGCTCATTGCTCCATATTACTGCCTCTTTCTTGTTTGGTAGTCGTTGTCTTCATGAAGATGAAACGCCCGAACAAGTATCATTTCTTTTGTAATTTATATCTTGCTTGTGAAATCTTCATCCTTGGCCAAATAATTAGTTATTAAATAAGTGCTCACATTTTGATTATAATTTTTTTTTTCTATATAGGTGGGGATGGAAGATGTCGAGAAAATTGAATGCATGATCTATCAAATAGAAGGTTAAGGGATTTTGCATAAAGAAGTTTAGATATTACATTGTACCTACTATCTAATGTAATTATATTTCCAGTGTTATGGAAATTAATTGTTAAGTTTAAATCATTATTTGAATTTGGATTGTGTAGACTGTTAAAGTTTCACTATGATTAGTTCATAGTAGAATTTAAACAGTTAATATTTTATAATAAAAAACTAAATAGTTTGGAATTTCAATTCAATATTTGCAGTAATTGAGTCCACATCTTTTGGATTTATACTTTTTTCCTAGAAATTTGCAAATTTTGCTTTTCACTTCTTACAAATTTACTAAAACATTAGATAAAAAAAAAAATTCTTAAGTCATCCATGGTGAAACACTTACTTCCACTCTATGCTATAGCATTGAGAACTGTGTTTTAAGGCATGACCTTTTCATTACCATTTGAGATTCATTATCGTTCAAAAAATATACTACTATTATATGTTTAAAGTAAATACTTTATATAAAGGTAAAATGCACATATCTTCCTAAGTTTTGGCTATAATTCCATGTGGTTCACCAAGGAATTTGTAATTCATTATAAAAAAAAAAACTTTTTTAAAGTTCTAGTATCACCTTTGCAACAATGCCTTTTTAAAGAAGTAAGCACAACCTTTACAATGCATTTTCAAGGAGCGAGCACAACCTCTCTACCTTTTACACAAGTTAAGGTCTAACCTATCAACACTATCTTTTCAAAAGTTAAGGTATAACCACTCTCAACACTCTACCTTTATAGGGAAAATATGATCTTTAAAAAAATTAAAAAGAATGTGAAGTTTAAGCTCAAAAATGCCTCTAAGTAGGCTGAATAAATCAATGAATACAAAAAGAGAATAAAGGCTTATCAAAGGAGTAGTAGAACTTCAAGCTCAAAGAAGCAAGGATGATGAACACTTGATATGAAAAGTGAAGGTGAAGGAATTTTCTCTTGGAAACTTCCCTTTTGCTTAGAATATCTTCTCTAGGTGTTCTCTTTGCTTAAAAACATGCTCTAGCCTTCCTTTTATATGTGAGACCCTGTTCATAGCCGTTTAAGAGTTTGATTTTGAAATTATGGCTGTTAAGTGTATCTTTTTTTGACTTGTCTGATATGAGGTACAATACACGTGATCTGAGTCTCTATAGTTTAATTGCCAATCTCAACTGAAGTCTCAATACTTGTTCTTCCTTGGAAGTTTCTAGACTAAACCATGTCTTGATACTTCTATGGCCTAGTCTTAATATATATTAGCTTGTTCTCTAGAAAAGCATGTCTAGAGATGATGTCTCGATACTTAACAAGTTGGTCTTGATGTTTAAGTACTTGACCTCTAGAATCTTAGGCTCTAAAGATAAGGTCTCGATATTTTCTTGGTGTGTCTCAATACTTTAACACTTCCTCTCTAAAACCTGATATTTGAAGGTGAAGTCTTGATATGATGAAGTTCAAGTCTAGATACTTTTAGACTTCTTATATGAAAACTGAGATTAAAAGCCAAGTCTCGATAACATAAAGCTTGTGTCTCGATACACTGGCACTTGCTATCTGGAATTCTGCTTTTTTGAGGAGATGTCTTGATACATGATGTCTAGATCTCAATACTTTAATACCTGTTCTCTGGAATTTGGTCTTTTAATGAACAGAGTCTTGATACTTACTAGAGATGTCTTGATACACCTTTTTTCTTAGGCTATTTCATGAGGCACTCAAAACTCATAATCTCAATACCCTTATACGAGGTCTCAATACTTTAGGTTAGGTTAAGCCTATTTTCAACACATTTGAGCTTTTAACACTTGGCCTATTTTTCAAATAGATGCTTATGAGATTTGTAAAGTCTTAATGCACTTATAAACTCATGTTTTTATCATTAGCTTTTGTCATGTTAAAACAAGGATCAATTATAAAGCTAACATGTTTAGTTTACACTAAAATTTGGGTGTGGAGGGTTCACTTTATGGGAATCTACTTGACTATATGGTATGGCTGAGAAGATATGAAAATGAGATTGTTTTGTATAAATGTTACATGTTAATGAACCTCTCAAACATGAAATCTAACTTTGCAAGATTAACAAAATTCTAATTAGATTTTTGTATGTTTGAATTATTTGTCCCACATGGAATCTTCCGTTATCTTAAAAAGTAACATACCAATGGTCTTTTAAAATACAAATGATTCATTAACTTTTTTATTAATTGTTTTAATACATATAAAGAGGTACAAAAAGGGAGGGAAGCTTCGAAGCTTAGACCTTAATCTTTCGAATAACGGGAAAAAACCATGAGACCTTTCACTCTAATACTTATTTGGCGGTAGATGAATAAAAGGGACAAAGCTTATTATAAGTGCAAGGTTTATTTGTGTTTGTAAGAGGAAAATGTTGGGTGAGGGTTGGTCAAATACAAACAAAATTGCAGTGGAAGAAAATAAACAAATAAAATGCACCTCTCTCTTCTAGGATCTCATTCATGCCATATTGAACACTAAATCAAAATGTAAAATAAAGCCATATGATCAGATCATATTACTTAAACAACAAAGGTTGATGAATCTTTTGTTAAATCACCAAAATAGCCTTGAAAGACTCAACCACTTCAACCCAATTGTTGCATACCAAAGCTGTCCAAGAAATAATTGCGTAGCCTCTAATAGTGATCCTTACTAATAAATCAGAAAATCCTTCTCTAAGGATTGAAAGTACTATTCCATGTCTATGTGCTAGCAAAGATGAGTTTCATAAACTTCAATCCCATACAAAATAGCCTTAAGGCCAAACACACTCAACACTAAGGGAAAGAAAACAATTTTCTCTTCATAAGGGCGACTAGAGCAAGAGTGTTTTTCAAGTGTGCAGGCTTGTTAGAAGGCTATAGCAAGGTATTTATATCTTGGATTAATTTAATCCTAATTAGGTCGATTACACAACTTTTATGTAATTGCCAATTAATCCAATAACTTAATTAAACTATTTAATTAAGTCCTTAATAAGCTTATAACTTTTAATTTGATTAAGTCTAACTTAATCACTTTCTCCTATTTTATTTTCAATATTCATTTTATATGTGTAACCCATTAGGCTTCTAACATATTGGTAATGAACTTAAGATATAATTCTTAAGTTAAACTTAAAATTAGATAAAATTAAATTACTTTAAATTTATCATTAAACAAATTAACTATCTAAAGTTTATAGACTAAGAGTGAGACCTAGCAATCCATCATGACCACTCAAATATTAGAAGTGTCAAGATGGTTTGACTCAACCTTTTAGTGATCAGCCTTTTGGTGTAATTCATTCTTTCATCATATATTCCAAAGACAATAAAAGTATGGTATAGTGTTTACTCTCATTGATCTCCATATTCATTCATGCAATTTGATCATTAACTTTACAAAGACCTATGAAACTCTCTTTATAATCTCTAAGTCACCTTAGCCAAGGACTTCAATAAGTTAATATCAACCAAGCATAATTAGGATATATCCCTTAAATCATTTGAGGTGATAATTCTTATTTTGACCACCCATTTACCTTTACATACTTCATGCTATACCCAACAATATCCTATTTTGATATCCTTGGTAAGATCCATAGGGATGAAATCAAAGTCTAAGAAGTACTTACACAACTGACACATTAGAAATATTGCATAAACAATAAAGTAAGATACCAAATGCACTTCTTGTGACAGCTCATATTCAGTGAACTTCTTCCCAAACAAGTTCCACATTCTAATTCCAAGTATCTCTATACTTCAATCTATAAGATCAGTTGCTTAATTCTCAAGTAAGGAAGATAAAATGTACTAGACTCTAAGCATGATTAATGTCCAGTCTCAATGATACATCGACTAGAAACATTTAGAGATTATATTTTGATGCATACAAATCTCATAATTGTAACATTTTACAATTCCCTTACAAGGCATATTAATCTCATAGACTTCATCTAATAAACTTGTAATCATTGTCTTATTGATGAAAGAAAATCTTTAATCATTCAGTATGAATGATATGATTTTATGATTGGATCCAAGCCTTAACTAATCCAATTGGCTGAGGGTCATTCCAATAAAAACAATTGAATATCAATGAAGGATTGAGACATTTCACTTTAATACTTATTTAGTGGTAGGTGAATAAAAATGAAAAAGCTTATAGTAAGTGCAAGGTTTATTTGTGTCTATAATTGGAAACAATTGAATGCCAACGAAAAATTGACTCATGTTATGAGAAAGAACAATTGAATGCCATTTAAAGGCGACAGGTGAACAAAAGACATAAAAGGTTATCTCAATACAAGATTTATATGCATTTATAAAAGAAATAATTGAATGCCAGCGAAGATTACCATAATAGTTAAAATTTATATTACACTGACAGCAAATAATCAATTTGAATCATTATGGCTTTTCATTTGTATATTTTGAATAAAAAACCCTTGTAAAATACAAAATATCTTGCTTTGACTTGAGAAATCGAGAAATTTATGTATTAATAAAGAAAATGAGTGCTATAAATATCATACCTTTCTATACAATTTTTCAATCTTAGCTAGCATAGTGATAAGAGAAAAACAAATTTGCCAAAAAGATGTCTTCCTCTTCCACAAAGTATCAGCCTACTGCTCGTGTCCGTATCACGATCAAGAATCAGGTTCTAACTCTCTTTTAATCCCTCTTTTTCGTTTCTACTTTTATTTTTGTTCTAAAAAAATTGTCAAGCTAATGCAAAGTCTTCTGTAAATATCTTATTTTTGGTGTCACACATATTTGACAAATTAAATTTTTAGTTTATAACATTAAATCTTTTTTTTTTACACAAACTATGATTAATTGTAAGTAGATCTAAGTATTTACACCATTTCTATATCATTCAAGTACTCAATTTTTTTTTATTTAAAAAATATTTTTTATTTTTTTTGTTCATATTTTATAACAAAAGCATTGAAATTACTTGATATATATTTTCATGGTTGATTCTGATATGCAGGATGGAGAAGAAGCATATTACCAGATGAAGCGCACCACCCCACTGCGCAAGCTGATGAATGCTCATTGCTCCAAATTTTCATTTGAGCCAAATACCGTCGCTTTCTTATTTGACGGTCGTCGCCTGAATGAAGATGAAACGCCTGAACAGGTCTCATTTTTTTCATAACTTATAACTTGTTTATAGTGATTTATGTCTATTATTGATCCCTAGATGGATGATAATAAGTGCTTTTTCTTTTTGTGAGCTGTTGTGTATATCTTGTTGTGCGACTCTTCTTATGTGTACAAGGTGTTGTGGATATTGGTATAAGTTGATTCATGATTTATGTCTCTTGTTTGTCTTGTATAGGAGACTATTTCAAGCATTTGTGTATGCTTTTGTAAAACAATGAAGTCATGATTTTCCAAAAAAAAATTATAACTTGTTTGTGAAATCTTAATACTTTAATTATATAATTAGTTATTAAATAAGTACTCACACTTTAATTATAATTTGATTTTTTTTTCGTATAGGTCAAGATGGAGGATATGGAGGAAGTTGATTGCATGATCCATCAAGTCGGAGGTTATAGAGTGCATTCGGCTTAAAGAAGTTTAGATATTTAAAGGGCACATGTTTCCTATTGCCTAGTTTTAATCACATTTCCAGTGTTGTGGAAATTAATTACTAGGTTTAAATAAATATATTTGAATTTGGATTGTGTAGACTGTTAAAATCCTTGTTTTAATTACATTTTCAGTGCTATGAAAATTAATTACTAGGTTTAAATAAATATATTTAAATTTAGATTGTGTAGACTGCTAAAATCTCACTATGATTAGTTCATAGTAGATTTCAAATAGTTAATATTATATAATATAAAGCTTAATAGCTTGGAACTGCAATTCAATTTCTCGGTTGATTGAGCACTCATCATTTGAATTTATACTTATCTTGTTCTAGAAATAAGTTACCTTTATATAACATATTACTATTATATATTTAAAAGATAAATAATTTATATACTAGCTATATACACATTCCTATGCACACCCAATATTGTGTATATATATATAATATAGCTGTTATCCACAATTGCAATTTATCTATAAAAAGATCAAAAAAAGATATCAAATTCAAATTCTCACTCATTCTTACACTATTTTATTAAAAAAATACAATTACTGTAGTCCTAATTAAAGATAAAGTTAGCTCTGATACCAAAACATATAAGGGGATCGACATTGAAAAAATAATTTAACCATGGAACCATAGTCCGCAGTACTAAACGTGGTAAAATGAACAATCTATATTAAAGGCGCTAAACATAGCTCAACATATTCTAGCCAACTTTTGACCCTTAAACATCATCTTTGTAAACCGAAATACACGCCACCACTCTTTCAACTTAGTCAATAATTGAGTATAAAACTACTATTCACACTTAGTAAGCAACAATATAAATCATATGCTTTGCAGTTATCACTATGATGGATCTTTTGCATTAAAAAACTCATGGAGTTAATTACTGAGTACCGCATGTCATTATAGTGAATTGACATCGAAAGCGATAATCTGTTGGCCCTGTTACTATAACACGATGGCTTGTATTCTGCTGCCATAGTTGATCCATGTATCTAAAATTTAGCACTATGTCCATTATTTATGTTCACTTCTATTCCCTTTGATAAAACCTCTCTGCTCTTCAGAATGCTTCTCCACATGAGATTTAGTAGTTTTTGCACATGCGGCCATGAATCAATATGTTTTTAGTATTTTTTTTTTCTTCAAAAGACCTACACATAAGGAGTCTTTGTTTTTTAACACATTTCATTCCAATTTCGCAAGCAAAACTAAATTCATTTTTCTAGCTTCTCGAATCTGTAATCCTCCTAGTTTTTTAGTAAGACAAATTTTCTTCCAACTCAAAATATGGCTCTTCCAAATCCCACTCACACGACCCAAATAAAGCCTCTATCTCCTTGACCACATTGTCAAATAGGAAGGAAGTTTGCATCAAGTATGACACCATAGTACTTGTAACAAACTACACAAGTGAGATGCAACCCACCATGGACAAATGCTTATTATGCCATTTCACTAATCTAATTTTTATTTTGTTAATCAATTTAGAATATGTATCCAGAGTAATTCTCCCATGAATCATTAGAGTGCTAAGGTAGTTACTAAAGTCCTTTGTCAATGGGATTTTGGCAACATCACTTTGTAACTTTGCATGTAAAGGACCAATATTGGAAGACATTAACATTCTTGATTTTGTAAAACTGACTTTTTACCCATATGCCAAACAAAAAGTATTAAGATCCCGCATCATAGTCTTCACATGATTTGTTGTTACAACTCCAAATAGCATAAGATTGTCCACAAAACAAATATGAGATAAAATCGAGCCCCTTTTTGTCAAATAAAGTGGTCTCCAATTACCTTATCTCACCTCATGATCAATTAAATGTGAAAGCCTTTTAAGACGAAGTACAAAACGATACAATGAGAGAGAATCACTCAATCTTTTTCCTCTAGAAAGAGCAAAAGCATTTGTGTGTTGATGATTCCAGATGATGGAGAAAGTAAGCGATTAAACAATAAACATTATTAGGCTAACCCAAGAAGTAGGCAAATCAATTTCTTGTGCAATCTCTTGTAAAAAATTTCAATAATTTATATTCTAGATTTTATATATTGTCAATATTAGAAATCATATATGCAAATTTAGTATTTAAAAATATATTAAAAATAAATATTTACTTATAATGCGCATGACCATGCTACAAATACTAGCTAGCATAAGTGATTCAACGCAGAGAGATACTAATATACATTGGGCAAAATTATATTCTCTCAACCTTGATTTTTGACATGAAGCTAAAGTTTTCCTTATATGGCAAGTTGAATCATCGAACTTGGTCAATTTGGGTAGGTTCGGTTTCTGTTTTTATTTTCTAATATAATTGATATGGTCGGATTTAAAACCCAAAATTTTTTCCCTCTCTTTAATGCCCAGTAATTCTTGAGCCTAGTGACCGATTCCTTATTAAACAAGTAAATTCCATACATTGGGGCTAAACGAGCTAGTTTTTATTGGGGAGGATCAAAGTACAAAAAAGAATCGGAGCTAAAATTTTTTAACATTAATATGTTGAACTTAACTAACAATCAAAATATTTATAATAGACAATAACTTTATATAACAAATAAATCAAAAAGAACAATAAAAGAAATACATACAATAATCCCTTAGAAAAGTTGTGCTCAACCATGTTAAGGCTTATTAGCTCAAGGGAAACAGAATCATTTGGATAATTTATATATTTTCTTTTAAAGAATTTATTAATTATTTTCAATTTACATATTCTTTAATCAAACCTAAAAAAAAATTAATACAGTCAACATCTAATATTTTTATTTTATTTCTATTTAAACTTGAAACACTAAATATAAAACTATAATGTAAAAAATATAAATAGTTAAATATGATATACTTAATTAATAATTTCCTCTTATATAATCAAGATTATTCAAAGACTTAATACTCAAGATAATTTCCTCTTATATACTCAAAGATAATTTTCTTTCAACTAAATATAAAATGTAAAGCACTTAAAAAATATATACTTAACATAATTTTTTCTTATATAATCAGGATTAATAAAAAAAAGTGATAAAAAATTTTAAGCAACAATCAACAGTACAACACTACAACTTATATTTGATAATTACATAATAAGTTTTTAATTTTTAAAGACTAAAATGATGGAAAATAAAATTCACATAATAGAAAAAAAAAGGAACATGGCAAGTAGAAGATAGAACACACATAATAAAAAAAAAGAACATGGTTGATTGTTTGTAGAAATTTAGAGAAGAAAACTAGAAACTTATAACATATGAATGAATAGAATAGAAATGAAAAAAAATAAAAAAATAAAATTAATAATAATATAAATAGAAAGAAAAATATAAAAAAAAACATCATACCTTTCAATACAGTTTCTCAACCTTAGCTAACATAGTAATGAACAAAGAGATAGATTTAAACAAAAGATATTTTCCTCTTTTTTAAAGAACTTGGCTAATGGTCGTGTCCATATCAAGGTCCAGAATCTGGTTCTCAATCTTGAGTTTATAAATAAGCATCTTCTTCTACCTAACAAGCATGTATTTTGGGTTAAAATGTAAGCCCCTAACAAGTGGCATCAGAGTAAAACCAAATCTTCACTAATGTACGATGTTAATGTGAGATACCAAGTCGAGGTCAACTTCCATAAGAGATACCAAGTTCAACCAAGTTGTATTAAAAACTTTCACCATATTTTTCACATAGAAATAAAACCTATTCACTTTAGTACTTATTTATTAAAATTTTTTAAAGGCGACAGGTGAATAAAACTAAAAATTTATCTTATTAAAAAATTTATTTGTGACTATTAAAGGAAACAATTGAATGCCAATTATGAAATGACACAATAGTTAAATTTTATATAATATTGGTAGAATGTAATAAATTATAATTTTAATTACACGAATCTTGTAAAATACAATATATATTGATTTTATTTGAAAAATTCAACAACTTATTTACCAAATTTATGTATAATAATGAATGAGTACTATAAATATCATACCTATCTATATAATTTTTCAGTCTAAATTAACATAATGATAAACAACGAGATTGATTTGAACGAAAGATGTCTTCCTCTTCCTTAATGAACCTACCTAATAGTCATGCCCATATCAAGGTTAAGAATCAATTTTTGAATCTTGTAAATATAAATAATCATCTTCTTCCACCTAATAGGAATGTATTTTTGATTGAAAATGTGAGCCCCTAACAATGATATCAAAACAAACTCAAATCTTTATTAATGTGAGACCCTCATGAGAGATACCAAGTCAGGATCCAACCTCATAAGAGACACCAAGGTCGATCAAGTACTATTAAAAACTTTTACTATATTTTTCACTCAAAAATAAAACCTATTCAGTTTAATAATTATTTATTAATATCTTTAAAGGTTGTAGGTGAATAAAAGCAATAAAATTTATCTTAGGATACAATTTATTTGTGATTATTGAAGGAAATGATTGAATAATTTATTAATTTTAATACTTATTTCTTAAAATCTTTAAAGACAATAGGTGAATAAAAGTAATAAAATTTATCTTACTGTAAATATTATTTATCACTATTAGATAAAACAATTGAATGCCAATGAAGAATTAACACAATAGTTAAATTTTATACAGTATTCATAGAAGGTGAATAATTATAATTTTAATTACACGAATCTTGTAAAACGCAATAAATATTGCTTTTATTTGAGAAAGTTAATAACTTATTTACCAAAGCTATGTATAGACAAGAATGAGTAATATAAATATCATACCTTTTTTATACAATTTTTCAATCTTAGTTAGCGTAATGATAAACAACAAGATAGATTTGTAGAACCTGACTAATGGTTATATCTATATCAAGGTTAAGAATTAAGTTCTAAATCTTAGGTTTACAAATAAGCACATTCTTCCACCTAACAAGTATGTAATTTAGATTGAAAATGTGGACCATAACATGTAATATCAGAGA